TTTAGATAGAGTAGTTCTCTTTGTATCTAAGAGGAGTGAATTTTTTTTCTTTAACAAGATCTGGAAACGAACAATTGAAATTTATTTTATCAATATCAGGAGGAAAAGTTAAGATTCAATATGGGATTGGTTGGGTGTAAGGTAGAGGAACTATTGTGTGATAGTTGATGCTTAGAGTTGAAATTGAAGGAAAATAAAACGATAAAAATAAAATGAATACTACCATGGACCCGTCAGTAATAGGTAGTGAAGAGAATAAATCATCCTTACCTCATACAACAACTCATCCTTACCTCAGACAACAACTCATCCTTACCTCAGTCATTGACTCATCCTTACCTCAGTCATAGACTCATCCTTACTTCAGACAACAACTCATCCTTACCTCAGTCATTGACTCATCCTTACCTCAGACAACAACTCATCCTTACCTCAGTCATAGACTCATCCTTACCTCAGTCATTGACTCATCATTACCTCAGACAAAAAGTCATCCTTACCTTAGTCATAGACTCATCCTTACCTCAGACAACAACTCATCCTTACCTCAGTCATAGACTCATCCTTACCTCAGTCATTGACTTATCCTTACCTCAGACAAAAAGTCATCCTTACCTCAGACAAAAAGTCATCCTTACCTCAGTCATTGACTCATCCTTACCTCAGACAACAACTCATCCTTACCTCAGACAACAACTCATCCTTACCTCAGACAAAAAGTCATCCTTACCTCAGTCATAGACTCATCCTTACCTCAGACAACAACTCATCCTTACCTTAGTCATAGACTCATCCTTACCTCAGACAACAACTCATCCTTACCTCAGTCATAGACTCATCCTTACCTCAGACAACAACTCATCCTTACCTCAGTCATTGACTCATCCTTACCTCAGTCATAGACTCATCCTTACCTCAGACAACAACTCATCCTTACCTCAGTCATAGACTCATCCTTACCTCAGACAACAACTCATCCTTACCTTAGTCATAGACTCATCCTTACCTCATACAACAACTCATCCTTAGCTGAGACAACAAGTCATCTTTACCTCAGTCATAGACTCATCCTTACCTCAGTCATTGACTCATCCTTACCTCAGACAACAACTCATCCTTACCTCAGTCATAGACTCATCCTTACCTCAGTCATTGACTCATCCTTACCTCAGTCATAGACTCATCCTTACCTCAGTCATAGACTCATCCTTACCTCAGTCATTGACTCATCCTTACCTCAGTCATAGACTCATCCTTACCTCAGTCATAGACTCATCCTTACCTCAGTCATAGACTCATCCTTACCTCAGTCATAGACTCATCATTACCTCAGTCATTGACTCATCCTTACCTCAGTCATAGACTCATCCTTACCTCAGTCATTGACTCATCCTTACCTCAGTCATAGACTCATCCTTACCTCAGTCATAGACTCATCCTTACCTCAGTCATTGACTCATCCTTACCTCAGACAAAAAGTCATCCTTACCTCAGACAAAAAGTCATCCTTACCTCAGACAACAACTCATCCTTACCTCAGTCATAGACTCATCCTTACCTCAGTCATAGACTCATCCTTACCTCAGTCATTGACTTATCCTTACCTCAGTCATAGACTCATCCTTACCTCAGTCATAGACTCATCCTTACCTCAGTCATAGACTCATCCTTACCTTAGTCATAGACTCATCCTTACCTCAGTCATAGACTCATCCTTACCTCAGTCATTGACTTATCCTTACCTCAGTCATAGACTCATCCTTACCTCAGTCATAGACTCATCCTTACCTCAGACAACAACTCATCCTTACCTCAGTCATAGACTCATCCTTACCTCAGACAACAACTCATCCTTACCTCAGTCATAGACTCATCCTTACCTCAGACAACAACTCATCCTTACCTCAGACAACAACTCATCCTTACCTCAGTCATTGACTCATCCTTACCTCAGTCATTGACTCATCCTTACCTCAGTCATTGACTCATCCTTACCTCAGTCTAAGGAATATATATAAGAAATTATAGTGTTGGATGTCTCTGAGAGAAACTGAGTGTTGGATGTCAAAGAGAGACTGAGTGTTGGATATCCGTCTCTTATTATATAATTATTTCACATATTAATTAATTTATACCCACGAATAAAATCTTTGATAACTCAATGAATACTTGTCCAAATCTGATTTTCCAGTGATTCTGAATCTACACCGGCCAGAGATTCATATTTCGTTGCCAAATCGCGAAAATATTCATTATTGACAAAGTTATATCTATAATAGTATTGAACTAAAATATGGTTTTGAAAATTTAATATAATAAAATTATTTTGAATTTAAATGTAAAGTTCTGGTAAGGAGTTAAATTAAGAAAGAATAATTGAGTAATTGAGTGATATTTGATAAGTTAGGGAGAAAATTTCACATACATTGAAGTAAATATATGTTATTGCAAGAGTTAGGATGAGTCTATGACTGAGGTAAGGATGAGTCTATGACTGAGGTAAGGATGAGTCAATGACTGAGGTAAGGATGAGTCAATGACTGAGGTAAGGATGAGTCAATGACTGAGGTAAGGATGAGTTGTTGTCTGAGGTAAGGATGAGTTGTTGTCTGAGGTAAGGATGAGTTGTTGTCTGAGGTAAGGATGAGTCAATGACTGAGGTAAGGATGAGTCTATGACTGAGGTAAGGATGAGTTGTTGTCTGAGGTAAGGATGAGTCAATGACTGAGGTAAGGATGAGTCTATGACTGAGGTAAGGATAAGTCAATGACTGAGGTAAGGATGAGTATATGACTGAGGTAATGATGAGTCTATGACTGAGGTAATGATGAGTCTATGACTGAGGTAAGGATGAGTCTATGACTGAGGTAAGGATGAGTCTATGACTGAGTTAAGGATGAGTCTATGACTGAGGTAAGGATGAGTCTATGACTGAGGTAAGGATGAGTCTTGTGAGGTAAGGATGAGTCTATGACTGAGGTAAGGATGAGTTGTTGTCTGAGGTAAGGATGAGTCTATGACTGAGGTAAGGATGAGTTGTTGTCTGAGGTAAGGATGAGTTGTTGACTGAGGTAAGGATGAGTTGTTGTCTGAGGTAAGGATGAGTTGTTGTCTGAGGTAAGGATGAGTCAATGACTGAGGTAAGGATAAGTCAATGACTGAGGTAAGGATGAGTCTATGACTGAGGTAAGGATGAGTCTATGACTGAGGTAAGGATGAGTCATGACTGAGGTAAGGATGAGTCTATGACTGAGGTAAGGATGAGTCTATGACTGAGGTAAGGATGAGTCAATGACTGAGGTAAGGATGAGTCTATGACTGAGGTAAGGATGAGTCAATGACTGAGGTAAGGATGAGTCTATGACTGAGGTAAGGATGAGTTGTTGTCTGAAGTAAGGATGAGTCTATGACTGAGGTAAGGATGAGTCTATGACTGAGGTAAGGATGAGTTGTTGTCTGAGGTAAGGATGAGTTGTTGTCTGAGGTAAGGATGAGTTGTTGTCTGAGGTAAGGATGAGTCTATGACTAAGGTAAGGATGAGTTGTTGTCTGAGGTAAGGATGAGTCTATGACTAAGGTAAGGATGAGTTGTTGTCTGAGGTAAGGATGAGTCTATGACTGAGGTAAGGATGAGTTGTTGTCTGAGGTAAGGATGAGTCAATGACTGAGGTAAGGATCATTCCATTCCACATATATCACAACACCTACACCTTACACAACCCACAAATCATCTCCAAATTTCTTTTCAGAACTTCTTTTAAATGAGCATTTTTCAATCAACAAACATCCCTTCTTTTGCCCGCACAAAAGGTTTCAGATGTTATATTGTTCCAGAAACTCATGAAACAAAGTTCTAAATGAAAATCCACGGAATGAGCTTGTTCAATAGCATTATCAATAAAAAGAAATCTATGGTATCGCCCGCACAATACCAAAAGATTCCATTTTGTAATGAATGATTACTATGATCCAAGGATGGTTCCGTAGACTTGAAAATTTTAAATTGGAGGTTTAATTCAAATTTGGCGGGCTTTTGGTCGTAGATTAATTTAACTAATATGAATTTGGATTGTGCTTTCCTTATTGATGTAATGATATTTTCACTAATAAAAAATGAAATATACACAAGAAAAAATTATTCAAAAATTATCATTGCATTTTATTTGAAGAAATTTTGAAAACACATCATACACATACTATAAATGAATATTATCATCTTAATTTTAATAAATTTCATTTACTTGGAAAGATGCAAGATCATCTTGTACTTACTCTTCGATTTATTCCATGTAACTTCGCAGGTAATAATGGCGCACTTACCTCTATTTTGGATTTTTATAGTTTCCCTCAAAACACATTCTATGGACTTACGCTCGTATCGCGTTAAAAATGTCGTTAAAATTGCCCACACGCCATTTTAAAATAATTTATTTTTTAAATGATTTATAAATAAATATATTTTAATGCATCGTCTATATATAGATGCAGCAATAAAAGTCACACAACCCGCTCTCATATACTACTGGAATAAATACAATATTTTATATAAATTTTTGATTTATTCGGGGTTTAATAAATATATTGGATTAATTTATTATAATACTTAAAAATAAGTGTATTTATAAATACGATTTTAATAACAGATCATAAATTATTTTAATAAACGAAAAGATTTCATCCACAACAAAGATCCGATCAAAAATATTAAAAATCATCTTTAGTTCCAAAAGTAGATTATTTGCCCTTTCATTTTATAAATTCATATCAACCACTTTCTATATATTTTCGACAGTCACATAATACAGAAACAATGAATTCTTTGTCATTTGAGAAAATTTATTGAAATACTATACTATTGTCTGAAGTAAAGTAACTAAGCAGCACGGTCGCCATCTAAGTAAGGCTAGGCATCAGTGCCATCAGACTTTACATTACAATTTCTGATAGATAAGCCTTTGTGTCATTATATAAGAGAGAACAATTAAAATTAAAGTAACAGTTTTATTCTTCATCTTCTTCTGCAATAGATTCAAGATCAACGACTGAAAATAGCTTATTTGACGATTGTAATAAAGCCAAGCGTCTATTACTAATGTCATAAGCAATTATATTTTCTGTAGGAACACTTAACATTCCTTGAGTTTCTTCTTCTTCTGTTGGTCTCCCGAACATCTGGAAAAATGATTTTTCTTCAGATTTAGAAAAGACTCCAATGCAACCATCACCAAAGGGAAATGCAATATCAATGATATAATCGGATTGGAATTTGCTTCTTTCACCAGTATCAAGATTCAATAATGAAAATTCATTTTGGGAAACAGTAGTAACGAAAGATTTGTTCAGGATAGAGTAGTTCCCTTCTAATATGAATGTCGAACAAAGTTTCGATTCAAACATTGGAACAGATTCAGTTTTATTATGAATAGAAATTGAATGAATTGGAAAGTACTTAAAGAACTTAGATAAAAACTCATAATATGATGAACATGATATGCTATTTTTATCTAAGATTTCTAGGATAGGATGAGAAGTTGAAAAAATTTCAAAAGTAGCGTTAAGAAATCCTTCAAGTCTTGATATTGTTTCCAATATGCTTAGACATTCTTGCAGTTGCGGGATTGACTTTTCATATTGAAGAGTTAAACCGATATCTCTTGGGAAGATTTTTATGGCCAAAGCAACTTGTTGACATGATTTATCAGATTGTAGTAATGCAGGAACTACGTTGGATGCTATAATATCACGAAGTTGGGAAATAAGTTCCTCCACTTGCTTTTTGACATGAACTAAACGAGTTTCACTAATCGGTCTCTCAAACTGTTGTCCAAGCAAAAAACATTTTGAAAACTTTGCGGAGTTCTCTGATAAATCCTTCAACTCATTCCAAAAAACTTGCCATTTGTCATCAAACTCTTTGATACTATTTTTAATAATTTGTGTGTGCAACCAGAATGAAGATAGAGAATCAGATACGGTTTTAATTAAATTGTATTCTAAATGTAGGAATTCTAATTTAAAAACTTGAATAGTTATATAATCTTCATGTAATATGTATACATTATCGTACTGGATTGACAACTCAATCGCATTTTGTTCTAAATGACAACATGAAAGAGCAAAATGAGAATCTGAAAAAATTGTGACAGTATTATTGGCCAAGCCTACACCAATTAATGAAATTTCATTATATTCCGCAAAAGCAATTGCAGTTATTTCAAAATTAAAGCGATTTGATGAAATTATTTTTGTAGTTTCGATATCATACTGGTATAAATTATGATTTTCTGTTGCTATCAGTATCGATTTTCCATCGGGGCTGAAACAGAGATGCGTTGCTTTGGAATTTAATACGATCTGATTGACTCTTGTCCAGTCCATTCGACGTAACTCAACGATTGAGTCACTTCCAGAATAGCAAATGGCTACAATGTCGCGTTTGTCTGACCATTTGACTAGTTTTGAATGATCTTGGAGACTTCCAGTCTTAAAAGAATCAAGCATAGAGTAGACGTTTATTAATTTTTTTTTGAAAAGATCTGAATTGAAAATTTTATAAAAAAACAAACAATTTACTTTTTATTTATTTCATAAGGCGCTCAGCTCTAAAAAGCTGTCCGTCTAATATTTGCATAAGATCATCAAGCTGTCGTCGAACTTTTGCTGCTTGTGCTCTGTCTGAAGATCTTCCAGAGTCCATTAAATCAATTAAAGATTTTACATCATGTTGAATTTGCTGAATTTCTCTATAAAGTAGCCTTATCTCCTGTTCTCTAGTTATTTGTGATTGGAATAATGGGTCAGCTTCTTCTTCCTCTTCTTCTCCATCCTCAAAAAAAAAGTTAACTTTGCTGTTGATATCTTTGATTTCATCTAAAACATTCGAAAACTTATTATGAAGAGCTTGGATATCTCGCATGCTGTCTATAAAAACTTGGCCTTCTTCCCGACTCATGATAATACTTTTGTACGTTTACGATAGAGAATTTTTTTCCCTATCCCAAATTCAAAAATCGCAAACATATATTTAGTATCGAAAACAATACACAGATTTATATTGGTTATAAATTTACATTCGATGTAAACTAATCAAAAACTTGCCAAAAAAAATCATAATCAAATTTTCCCGATGTTAAATGATTACTATATGCTTATTTAGCTTTCCGAAGAAAAATTTTCAACGGTGACGATAACTATAATTTTTCATGCTTCTTTCTTTTCTTCAACTCTCATCATCATCAAATGTAGATCACGTTTTTCCTAAATGTAATGAATGGCATACAATCGATTCGGTAACTGCCCTGAATATTTCAAACCCAGGATACTATTGTTATCGTACATCCAATATGAGCATAATCATTGACGGAAGTGCTAAAGTTCAATATTCAAAGCAACAAACTCCAAATGACGCAGATACCTATGAACCCCCAAGTGATGCCAAGCACCTATTAATTTTCCTCAAACAACAGACTGGTTTATTTACTATAGAACAAGAGAAAGATAAACCCGCTACATTTATTTATGCAATCCCAATTAACTCTTTGGAAAAGCCAAAAGATCAAGATCCCCATTATCCGATCGGAAAGAATTTCTACATTTCCAGTAAAGCAAATATTACGCTCAAGTATGTGGAATTAGACAATGGCAATAATGACACGTTTAATTTCTTAATTCTTGGAGAAACCGTTAAAGTCAACACAACTGGCTTTCTTTTTACCGGTTGTATTGAAGATAATGTAAACAAGGGAATTAAGACCGTTACAGATTATAAGGTAAACGGTGAGAAAATTTCTTATGGCCTAATGTCTCCCGATAATGAATCCCTTGCAGTTAACATCGAAGTCAATTCTAAAATATTTGACCCCTATTTAGGAACAATTCCAAACAAAGTTGATTTCTTTTCAGATGAAGATTTAAATTCAGACAAACTATTTTCTGTTGACGTTTCTTTTCTTACCGATATTTTTGACAAATATAATCTAGTCATTAAGTATATTCCATTCGTTATTGTTGGTGTTCTATTTGTTGTCGTTGTTTTTCTTTTCATTATTACTTGTTGTGAAGTTAGGAAATATAAGAAAGCTAAAGCTGATTAAAAAAGGCATTCACTTCTTATTTTATGAAATAAAAAGCATCAATGTTAAACTTTCTTTCTTTTTCTTTCCGTTTTTGTTGGTTTATATACATAAATGGAAAACAAAAAATAAAGACTATTTAAAACATAACATACATAAATATTTATAGCAAATCAATGGATTCATCCCAATCTGTAAGTTCATCGCTCTTATCCGTTTCGTAATCAAGAAGTGAGTAATTTAAAATGAGCTTTCGCTTGAATTTTCTTAACTGATTTTCTGATTCATTATCTGTTAATCTATGGCTTCGGGTGTAATTGAGTCCATATCTTCTTTTTGTAGAGTTTTTAATTTTTTCAAGCAACTCTTCAGATTCTTTCGTATCGAGGCAGTCTTTTGATTTATCCCATGGTCGCTTGGGCCACCAAGTTGGAATAATCGTTTCTTCGAAATGTGTTTTAAAATCTCCAGCTTCTTCTAATTCAATATCTGTAAAATTAAGATCATCCTTTTCTTTTTCAAGATTTGGAACCATTCCTGGATGCAGGTGAACATGATCTTCGCCGAGATTAATCCTTCTTTCTAAGAGAGATAATCTTAGGTGTTTTTTGCTCATGTCAAAATTATTCATGATACTTAAATCTTCTGAAGTATCTTCATTAAATTTTCCTTCCCATAATGGGGTAATAATTGTTTGAGAATCTGGAATGTTCTGAATTTTAGTTTTATCATCTTCTGCGCTTGAATCAGATGAAGGTGTTGATGATGTTGTTGAGGAAGAAGTAGATTCGCTTGATGATTCCTCTTCTTCAGCTTCTGGCGTAACATCTTCCTCCTCTCCTTCTTCGGAGAAGTTTTCTGTTGACTCAGATGACCAATCAGAAGCCGAAGGAGAGTTGAGGCTTTTCCTTTTTCCCATTCTTGGCTTGAAAAAAAAAGGGTTTAGGAATTTAAATGAAGAAAATTATAGGTTTCAAAGATGTATAATTATTATAAGTGGAAATATTGTGTTCATTCTGTTAAGTCAGAATTACTCGAATAGTAGTAGGGTATGAAGGGTTGTGTGACTTTTTTTGTAAACGTAAGAATTCATACAATATTGAACGATTTTGTATCATTTTTTTTAACATATGAAGTAAAAAATGTATGATTCTTACGGTTTTTATTCTTACGTTTTTGAATAAATCAAGATTTAAAAATATTCAAAAATGTAAGACATTTACACTCAGCCCATACATAATGTAATAAACACATTAATAAAATTAACATTAATTTTAAAATAATTTATTTTTCATCTTTTATAAAAGAAGCTATATATAGAGTGGGGGACAAACTCGCCCATTGTCACTTTTTATTAACCTTAAACTTGTAATTTTCATTATTTTTAATTAACATTATTTCTTTCCCAATTCCTGATTTATTTTATTCACTTACTATTAAAAGTCACATTTTAATAAAATATAATAATTTATTTATAGCATTTTTTACTATACTGTAATAAAAAATTAATTATAATAAATTAAATGTTTATTAAATCAAATGTTTTCTTTGCAATAATATTTTTAATGTTGAGTAAACAATGTTGGGATCAAGTGTATCATTTTTCAGACCTTTCTGAACAGCTTCAAGCATACTGATGCATTCGACTTTTTTAAATTGTGTCATTTCTTCGAAATCTCTTGTGACTTTTTGATAACTTTAACACTTCTCTCTGAATCCAGACCTTTAATTTGCAACTTAATCAGGAATGAAGGAACAACACTGGAATATAACTCGATGACAAGTTCATCGAGTCGAAGATTTGGTTGTACACCACTTGTATGTGCCGGATACCATTGTGTCAAATTTTTTCTGAAATTAACTTTAAAAGTACTAAGTAAGATCATGAGATATAGCAATATATGTTTAAACTAACTTATATTTTGGTTGTACACCACTTGTATGTGCCGGATACCATTGTGTCAAATTTTTTCTGAAATTAACTTTAAAAGTACTAAGTAAGATCATGAGATATAGCAATATATGTTTAAACTAACTTATATTTTGGTTGTACACCACTTGTATGTGCCGGATACCATTGTGTCAAATTTTTTCTGAAATTAACTTTAAAAGTACTAAGTAAGATCATGAGATATAGCAATATATGTTTAAACTAACTTATATTTTGGTTGTACACCACTTGTATGTGCCGGATACCATTGTGTCAAATTTTTTCTGAAATTAACTTTAAAAGTACTAAGTAAGATCATGAGATATAGCAATATATGTTTAAACTAACTTATATTTTGGTTGTACACCACTTGAGTTAGTATACAAGTCTCGTGTATGGTGGCACTGCGTTCCACTTTACCCAATACTTGTGAATTTGACACTTTACAAAACCGTTAACGTATATTTTACAACACAAACGACAACACTAACTTAACATTAAATATTTACAAAGCCGCCAACCACTTCACTTCACTAACGAACTCACTAATGTAAAAATAAACGTTCTCACTATCGTTCTCACTAACAACTTCACTAATGTTCTCATAAATTTTCCTCAATATCTTCATCATCAGTGTTAACCCTATTGTAGTCATACTTGAAGCCATAAACTTTCTCTAACTTCTTAACGTACAATTTACATAACTTACCTTCGTCATCGTATGGTTTAATGATATAACTATTTCTATCTTTATAAACAGTCAATGAAAAGTCAACTGGTCTCGGATGTATTTGAAAGAACATGTTATGCTCAGGAAGGAAGAATAAATGTTTAAATGTATGTTTGTTATATGTTTTGATTTGTATGAGTTGCTTTTGTTCTGTCATTACATCCAAATAAAATAAAAATAAAATAAAAAATAAACTTTAAAAATTAATGATATCACCACCCTCACACGTATGAAAACATAGCGCAAAAATAAATTTAGGTGAAGTGGTGAGATGTCACCTGTTTTTTCACCTCTTTTTTCACCCGTTGAATTCATTACTTTATAACTCTCTTCCTTGGTTTCTTTTTAGTTGCTTTCTTCACGTCTGTCTCCAACTTGACTGTCTTTCTTCTTCGTCCGTAATGATACCAATTACTTCCACCAGTCAATGGGTCAAATGGTCTTTCGTAAGGGTTTCCATACATTCCATAGGGACCATACGGAAGAACTACTGGTGGAGGAAGAGTTCCATCGACTCTATTTAAATGCATTGTTTCACCTTTCATCTGGTCATTAAAGTCTTTTGCGTGTTTTGCAAACTCATCGTCCTTTCCTAAAGCATTTTCTGACTCAGTCGCAACCAAATTGGATGCTTTATTTATGAGTCCTATTTTATTTAATCTTAACTTCTTTGCAACCCAGCCTCCAATCTTTCCTTTATTTGCATCTAATGTCTTCGAAACCCTTCCTCCACTCATTTTATTTACTGCGTCATAAGCTCCAAGTGCTTTTGCTCCAAATGCTAATGCTTTTGTTCCCATTGCGCCTAAAGCTGCCCAAGCTACCATTTACACCATATTAAAATCATCTCTCTTCAATATTATCTCATAAAAGTTCTCGTTACTGGAGAAAGTCAATGAAACATAAACATTCTCATGGACTTCGTCCTCGCCGCGTTGCGGCTTCATAAACTTATTTCTTATATCATCTATACGCTTCAAAATGTCTGAACAATTGCTAACATCTTCTACAACAGTTATTTCATCATGAATGACCTTTAAAAACAAGCTCATTTAATATGCTATTAAAATCATCTCAATAATGAGTCCATCCTTTCCATCTTTAGGTAGCACAACATCTTTCATTGAAGAAGGTTCGACAAGTCTTATATTAAACTTACTGACAAAGTTTGTTATACTATAATGCTTCGGCGGCGAATACATGTAGTTTGAAAGACATAATATAGATTCTTCAGCAAATTCACTTATACTGGATTTTATAACAATGTTCTCACGAGACCAAATACCACCAATTGACAATCTTGTAAGCAATCCTGCTGAACCTTCAACTGTAAACGTCGATGGTAACATTCCACGAAGGTCATCTATTGACATCTTTGAGTCACTGAATTTAAATATTTTCTTAAAGCAATCGTCATTATCTAACCATGCAATAGCTTTGAAGTTTTCATTCGAATATACATCTGCTTCATTAAATGTAAAACCTGACTTCTTTGCAGAGACGACTTTAAAATCTATTGCATTTGTTTCAAAATTATATGCTATGCTAACTTCTGAAGGTAATGGATGTCCTTCCGCAGTCAGTTGTTCTTTCAATACCGTTTGAAGCTTTGTATTAAAAACTTTCATGTCATCTCCTGTGTCTAGGTTCACATACACAGCAACAGGAAAACTATCTTGCTTCTTTGTTTCATCATTATACCTCAAAACATTAAAGTTCTTCAATAATATTGTTCTTCCTGCTGGAATACTTCGAACCTGTCTGATTTCAATAGCTTTCTCACCTCCTACATACTCTACCAGTGCCTTGGATATTCATAAGTATACTGACTTTCTTGAATTTTGGTAGGTTTCATCATAACGTGTTCATAGTATATCTTTATACTCTTGTCAGTTAGACTCGGTGCTATGTTCTGAATATTTCTGACTTGCATTTTTAATGGAGATAAAATGAAGCATTTAATACATGACGTAGATGAAGACATGAATGAAACTACAGACAAACTTAACTCTTCTCTCATTCTTCCTTTCAGTAAGGACTATGAGTTCTGTTCAAATGGCGTTTATTTCTATTGTGGAAAGATGGGTTCAGGTAAGACATTTAATTTAATTCGTCATATACTCATAACAGAACGTTTAGGAAATGACTCATATTATGACCAAATCATTATATCAGCAACTTCAGACTCTATGGACTCAACAGCGAAAACATTTATGTCAAAAGTTCAAGCCTCTGTCGTTAAAGTTCCAGACAGTGAACTCATTGAATTTCTTCAACGTTACATTCGACGTAAGAGAAAATATTATGCTATTGTAGAGTTCATACAGTCAGGAATGCAAAAGACTTCTGAGGAGATGGAAAGAATTATTGACAAACACCACTTACGTCAGTACTCAGGAGTTTACGATATGAAACGACTGACAAACTACATTCTATCAAAACTTTCAAAATACCCCTTCAAAAAGTATCCTTCAAACACTCTGCTCGTTTGTGACGACTTCGCTGGTAAAGGTTTAGTGTCAAAAGCAGACACACCATTAGCTAACATCATAACTAAAGTCAGACATTACCACTTAACTGTAGCAATGCTTATGCAAACATGGAGGTTTTTAGCTTTAAACATAAAACGTCTCATAACTGACTTCGTTATCTTTCAAGGTTTCTCACGTTATGATATTGAACTCATTTGGAAACAGTCAGGTATAACATTACCTTTTGAAGAAATTTGGGAAGCATATAAGTCTCTCATCTCTCCTCGTTCATACCTTGAGATTCATATCATGACTAATACCATTAAAGTCAAAAATATTCCATGGGAACGACCAACATTGTTTTAAAGTTTAACCTTCAATTGACTGATGGTAAACAAATTCCATGCATCTCTGTCGCCATTTCTGTTAATATTTTTGCTGTCATTCATATCATCCACTTCTCCATCTGTTAACTTTTGAGGATATGCGTTAGAATAGCTGTTCTTAAATGAAGGCTTTTCACCTTTGAGAGCATAAACTCTATAACTTTCTGCATACTTTATGTTTGAACCTCCTGAGCCATCATTGACATAAATTTTTATAGGCTTCCACCCTTTGTTCATGTTCCTGCTTCTTCCCTTAGCTCTTTTGTTCAGTAGTTCTACATCTTTATACACAGCTCCTGTCTCAGTGAATTCAACAATATTTTCATTCGTTAGCTTTACATTCAAACCCTTGTCGAGTATATTGTTCATTTCATACATATAAAAGGTTTTTATTCTATATGAAATGAGAAGCAAATCCATCTTAGCTGGTGCCGTTAATGTTCCAATTGAACCAACATCAAATGTTGACTCACGAACGACAAACAATATTGTCATAAAGAACTATAGTTCGGAGTGTTTGAAAGAACCAGAACCAGAGCTGAAATCCGTGAATTTAAACTCAGCTTCAAACGCTAACGCTACATCAGATGTTAAGTTAGAGTATCCACCACTGGACCAAATTCTTTCAAGAGAAGCCAACGACAATCCTTACACAAATGTTCAAACAAATCCTTCAGATAACGTAGACCATTACCTTCTTCAGTTATACCAAACAATTTTACTCAAAGACGATAAGAAGCTTTTGACAAATCTTATAAGTAAGAACCAAATAATTCTAACAAAGGAGGACCTTGAAAATGTTATATCACGAATAACAGGGAAACAATGTGTCATTGACTATCTCGACCCTGAAATCGAATGCTGTGGTCAAACGCCACCATTCATAAATAGGTAACATCCGCATCATTGAAACACCAGGAACTACAGGAGTTGAGTTTAAGTATAAATATTCGAATGAATATACAAAACTTTCAACAGAATATAAACTTTGCTTGAAATATGTTTTAGTAAATTAAAGCAATTTGTAATATCTATCCAAAACTTCTTCAACAGTATCGAACTCATCTTCATAATGCAAACCTAATCTTATTGACTTGGTGCAGTTTTCACTAACACAATATAGCGCTTTGCGCTCGGCGCCTTTGACGCCTTTTTCTGTTCTCTTGACTGACATAACTAACTCATTTGTTTCATCAAACAGCAACAACCAAAGTTCATGACCTAATACATAACATTCATACTTTATATTTTTAGCTCTGAGTTCTCTTGTAAGCTGTTGCATTTAATATTTTCTAAAAAGTCAACTTCAACAGTCATTCGCACTGGTGCCTTCAGTTCTACAGGCTCGCCCTGAAAGTCAACTAGTCTGAATTGCATGTCTTTCAAATTATGAGGACTAATGCGAACCCATTTACCTAAATGAGTTGCTATGACAGGAACGTTTGGAATGAACATTGAATTGACTGCATAACAGAAAGACTTATATTCTACTGAACCTTTACTATTAACTCCTGAAATGCCTGTGACATTAGCTATTTTAGACTCAATGTATAAACAGTTGCCATAACATACGTATGGAACAGATTTCATCTCAATCGTTTTGTCAACACTTTTCAAAGGAAATGTCATATGGTATGCTCCCAGAAGCAATTGAACTCTATGACTCATTCGTGTTATCTTAAACTCCTTTGCATAACTGAACTTCAAAACTCCTGCAATAAGTTTAACATTCATTAAGTTTTCTTCGTTATCCTTGTTTATTGTAGTATTTATGAGAGCATTTAACACTCCAGCTAATGTTTCCATCTTATATTCTACATTATTGTGAAATCTTATTTCGTGCTTCTTTCCATCTATTTCAAGCTCCATGAAATCTGTTTCATCTGTTATGACAAAAGTTGCGATAGTATTGAAGTCAACAACTCTGAAAGCAAGTGGCTCATTCTGTAGACCTAAGTTTGTTTGTAGCTTTACTGTCCCGTATTCGTTTGGGTCTGTACTTTGCAAATAGAACAACATTTTATTCTCATTAAAATATGACTATTGCTGCATATGCGTATGAAGCTGACAGAGCTAAACGTTTATATTTTGGTCAATACTCTCTCACACTTACTGACAAATATATTGTTATCAGTGATGGAAATACCGAGAAATACATAACATGGAAGGACTATGAAAAGTTTGACCCCATTTTAACTCCATGTACTATGCCATTCATTGTAAATGGTGAAATCGTCATGAAGAACGACACAACAGTATATAAGTCTCTTCATGAAGCTAGAATATATGTTGAATTATAATCCCGAAAGATTTGACCCAAGCACTACGCCATGTACAATGCCTTTTATTAAGGATGGTGAAATCGTAAGAGTTCCGGATTCAACGTTTACACAGCTGTTCAAAACAGTTTACAAAACATTTTTAGCGAATATCTTTAATTCAGAAAACTACAGAAATAAAATTACCATATATAACAGATGCTAAAGAAATTAAATCAAAAAACGACAACATTATTTACGTCACTTAATGATTTAATGACTTATATCATTAATATTCCTGCACCAACTACAGCATTTGATCCAAACTCGACGGTTTGCAGTGTACCTTTCATAAAGTCGCAAACGGACTCTTTGAGTCCTGAAGGTCTTTCAGACCGAAGCGACCAGGCGAAGCCATGACAGTTCAGTAATTGTTTTAAGGGATTCAACAGTTAATGAATCATTAAAGGCTTCATTAATGAAAATCATTGATTTTAACTCATTCACGAATACATATAATTCATTCATTAATGTTTTCATATGCTTCTAAAGAAGGTGAGCCAAAAACTATTGATAAAGCGTTATGAAATAAAAGCATCAACGACGAAATTGAATTCGTTAACTTTTGACGGTGATAGTTTCGTTAATGACATAACATCGGGGAAAACAATTTTAACGAAAGAATATTTAAATCTCATGTTAGTGAGTTCGTTGAAATTGAAAAAGAAGGTGAATTAAGTTCGATCCATGAATTTCATTTTCAGCTTAGCGAATGCGGGTGTTAGTTTCGCTGAATGACAACTATACAGAGTGAAATAAATGCAATATGGACGTTTTTGGGGTCAAAAGCGGGAATGGGTGAGCTTGTAAATGCTGCAAGAACATTAGGTGAAACAGGAAATTTTGTAGATGGTTTTAAAAGACTTTTTCAAATGTTTTAACAAACACAAAGAAATTATTTAGATATACTGTACATAACGGACGGATTTTCGAACAGATCTAGCAACAAACCCTCGGTTATGGCTGCGTTGATGATGGTTAGAGATTAAAACCACGTAACGACGGGAACGAAGAACATGAACAACAGAGCCCAACGGGCTCAGAGCCACATAGTGGCGAGGATACTGGTCGGGTTATTCGAGGACATTAAAAACGTGTATCCTGAAGTTATTGATTTATTTAGAGGAGTTAATGATTCAATTTCAAAACATTCTATAACCCTCGATGAAGAGAATAAATTAACAGATTATATATTCGTCATTATTGCAGAACTAATGAAGAGAATAAATGAAAAAGGAATTGGTGATATCATTAATGTCAGCGATGTAATGATGAAAAGAAATTTTGACTCATTATTTACAAAACCGAAAAACAGAATATAGTCTTTATGACGTAATTACCGAATTAATGAAAAAGATTAATGATTAAGAGTTCTGGCGGAAGAGTTGAATTAGAAGTGAATGATGTTAATGAGAAATTAGCCGAAAAAGCAGATAAAAACCACGTTCATTATATAACTTCAGACGAACAGATTATAACGGACTACCATGGATATTTAACACGAAGTGATGAAGCGAAGACAAAAAATGTTAATGAAAGAAGATATAAATACATTCGTGCTAAAGGTTATGACATAAGCTGTACTGTACATTATGACACAGGTAAAGCACAAGAAGCATTTAGTTATACCGGTGAAATTTATGCCTCTACTTTCAATGTTAACGGTGTATTAGTTGACCAAGAGAGAGTTAAGTCAAAAAATAACGTTTGAAGATGCTATTAAAAGTAAAGCTGACAAAGATGAACTCGAAGCAATGAACAAAGTTTTGAAATCTCATAAACACAACATCTCCGATATAAATGAACTTCAAACTTCTTTAGACAGTAAAGCTGACAAGAACCATACAAAACGAATCCTTCACTACTGTTAGAGCAGACGACATAATATTGAACTTTGATTTGGGTTCAAGTGCACCATTAGAAAATCCAAGTACAAGCGTAAAAGATACACTAAACTCCTTAAATGGTAAATGTATGAATATCGAAGATCATGCCAGAAACTTTGAAGCATATGAACTACCAGCAATGTTAGATAAGAAAGCTGACAAGAACCATACACATAAATCCTTCACTACTGTTAGAGCAGACGACATTATCTTGAACTTTGATTTGGGTTCAAATGCACCATTAGAAAATCCAAGTACAAGCGTAAAAGATACTCTTAACAATTTAGATAAGAGTTGCAGGAATACCGAAGATCATGCCAGAAACTTTGAAGCATATGAACTACCAGCAATGTTAGATAAGAAAGCTGACAAAACTTATGTGGATGCAGAACTAACAAAGAAATTTTCGAAACCAGATACAATGACATTTACAACAGAAATTATAAATGGTGAACCAGCAACTCCATTTGAATTTGTTAGAGGTCTTCAACCAGATACTTTTGAATTTTTCTTGGATAATTCTATTGAACTAACATTACATTATAAAAGTGGAACAAATGCAACATTTCATCCGGGAGATACATTCCAAATGGTATTTAATGACATAAGTTCTTTAGAATATGTTTATAGAGTTATGAGCATATATGATTTAATATATCCTATAGGAGCTGTTTATACGTCTATGAATCCAATAAATCCAAACACTTTATTTGGTGGTAGATGGTATGAAATAGTTGACAGTTTTCCATTCTACACTAATACGCAGTCAATGAAGATGGGAGGTTCAAAGAAAATAGGTATTGAAAACCTTCCTTCACATATGCATAGGTTCAGTGGAAGAACATCTGTGGAAGGAAACCATTCACATTCAATAACAAAAAGAGGTTATACAAATCTTGCAGCGGGTTCGGATAGACAGGGAATGCATAGATATGATATTTCAACTGACCCCAAAGATGTTAGCACAGGTATTTTCTGTGGAACTGCAGGAAATCATACACATGTTGTAGCTGGTATTACAGACCCAGCAGGTAATGGAAAAGATTATATGCCTCCTTATATAACAATGCACGCTTGGATACGAGTTGGTTAAAATCTTTAACTTTACATAAATGAGCTTGAAAGAAGTATTCGAACAACATCCATGGAGGTCATTTAAGAAGTTCAATGAAGCTGCAAAGAGTCGGGGATTTACTAACAGAGCTGAAGTGAAAAGGTTCTTTGACAAAAATGTTGTACATCAAACAAAAATAAACCCTTACGACTACTTTTTACCAATTTACTCCAACACTCCTGACGCATACCAATTTGACACTCTCATTCAAAGCAGAAAAGGAGGACATAAACCATTCCTCATCTTCATAAATGTTAACACTCGTAAAGCTTTTGCGTATATAATGAGAAATAAAGGAACTCATGAAGTGTTAAGAGTTTTACAAAAGTTTGTAGCAGAACATAGCCCAAGTACTTTAACATCAGACCAAGACAGTGCATACCTCAGCAACGAAATCACAGAATTTCTCATTAAGCATAACATAACTCACTACACTACTGAAGACCATAACCATAACATACTCGGTATCATTAACCGCTTCATAAGGACTCTCAGAGATTTAAATCAAGAGCGAGACTTTACCGAAGAAACAATGAAACATTTTCTCGAAGTATATAATTCCTCAACACATTCTACAACAGGACATACACCAAATTCAATGACACAACAACAAGAAGAAAAGTATATACAAAAGAAACGAAGTCAAACACAAAATATCAGAAATTCAACACAATTTACTCTCATTCCTGGTACAAAAGTTCGTGTAGTTCTTGACGACAAACCGTTGACAAAGAAACGTTTAAGGTTAAGTCGAAATTATTATATTGTAGACTCTACGCAAGGTAATGGATATCTTATAAAAGCTGCCGACGACTCTATTGCGTTTTATCCTCGACATAAATTAGTCGAAAGTAGTAATGGCAAACTTGCTGAAACCATTGACGAAGCAAAGCGAGGAGTGGTTATTGAAATACTTGACTACAACATAAACGATGACACTTATAAAGTAAGATATGAAGGAGGCGTTGAAGATGTTATACCATCTAAGAACTTGAGAGAATCTAAACCAACTCATCTGGGACCATTAGAGCGGGAGTACTGGAAAGATAAAAACATGCCAGAAAGAATAAGAAAATTCTTCTAAACTTTTTCATTAGATGTAAATCAGACATGAATGAGAACAGTCATGTATTATTAATGTTTTCATAAATTTACACCAAAAATAATGTTTAGGTGAAGAGGTGAGATGTCACCTGTTTTTTCACCTAATTTTTCACCTCATGAATTTTCATGAAAACAATTTATTTTTAAAACAATATATTTTTACATATATTAAATGCTTCAGGTTGAAAGAATATGGTGGAGCCAAAAGTGGCTCGACCTCAAAACAAACATTTTATGAGCTTACAAAGGGTGTTATGAATGAATTCAGCAACATACATCCTGACCTCATTCATTTTGTTGCTAAATTCAGTAAAAATAATGTTTAGGTGAAGAGGTGAGATTTCACCTGTTTTCTCACCTGTTTTTTCACCTCTTGAATTTTCATGAATTTTCACAAAAGACCAAAAATAATGTTAGTTTTATTTTTATTTATTTTTTATTTTGTATAAAAGATATGATTTCAACAATCGGCACAACAACAATTCAAGCCGCGAACGGCGGGACTCTGTCCACAACAACAGCACCAAACTCGTTAGTCATGAATCCTACGTCAATGTTGGTAGAAATGAAAAGCTTCATTCCTTCTTCATATACTTTCGAAACAGAAATCCAGAAGATAAAGCAAGAACTTTTAACAAATAATTTAGACTGTAGTGCGAAAGATGAAGAAAATGAACAGTATCTTTATGAAATGCAGGACATTATTGACCATTTACCCAAATTGCCTGAAATCCAACAACAAAAACTCACTATTCCTGAATTCGATGAAATAGAAGTGAAACCAACTGACTCAGTAGAAATAAAGAAGTTCATTCGTAAGGTAAATTATGAATTCCTTGGTTTTCATTGCAACCATAAAGTTATGGACAAAGATTGCGACATGGTATATAAAAACATTTCTGACATATATAAATCTGAAGAATTTAAGACCTACGACAACTTTGTTTCGTTAGTTGCTGAATGTGTATGGCAGATAAGAGATAAAGATAGAAGAGGCAAAGTATGGAACGAACAAATAAGACCCGCTATGTTTGAGATGAAGAGAGCAATTGACGCCTTAGTTGTTTTAGCAGGTAAGGTTTCAGAATATAACGCAAAAATGAACCCGCAATGTTCAAAATGTAAGGCAGCAATTAGGAAATATAACTACTCAGTCAAAGAGATAGAAAGAATGAGAAACGACTATGCAGACTTAAAGAAAGAAGCAGAAAAGCCAGCAGAAGATAAAATGAACATGTTAGAATTTCTGAACAAAAACTATCCAACAGTAGAAGATTTCCTTCTATCTGACGTCAAGAAGAAATATAAAGAGACTTTCGGCATTGTTAAAACTTTTGATATCCTCAGCGAAGAAATAGAAGCTACAAAACTGTTTAGGATTTCAAATATACATCGTACAATTCATGTAAAACGCTTGTGAAAAAACTGGGGTGAAAAATTAGGTGAAAAAACGGGTGACATCTCACCTCTTCACCTAAATTATATTTTTGGTCATTTACGAAGAAGTTATGACAAAGCATTTACGAAGAAGTTATGACAAAGCATTTACGAAGAAGTTATGACAAAGTCAAGACCCTTTGGGTCTCGCCGCTTAGCGGCTGAGGGTGAAAAAACAGGTGAAAAAACAGGTGACATCTCACCTCTTCACCTAAATTATATTTTTGGTCAAAGCTTCCACGAGAGAAAAGATTCCTCATTCGCTAAGGATTCCAAAAATGAAAAAATCATTGATTTCGGCTGAGAAAAAACAGCAAAACCCTTCTTCCACGGGAACAAAGAAATAAAGAAGAAATAAAGAAGAAATAAAGTAAATTTTTTATTTATTCCCGTGGAAGATAGAGCACTTTTATGACACTTTTTATTCACGACAAACAAGACAAACAAAGAAAATAAGAAAATACGGCGCTGTCGCGGTTCGAACCACAGACCTTGACCCCTCCATAACACCACCTTAGACCACTGTGCTACGTAGCCTGTCGACATAAGATTTTATAAATTGCATATTTGACGTAAATTTATTTCCATCTGGCTTCCCACTGCATAAGATATTCATACGTGTTTGTAAGACATTCATTAAACTTCTTTTCTATTGCATCTAATCTTGCGTTATTTTTTTCAATAACTTGTCTGTATTCTTCATCATCTCCAGCAGTGTTTGGGTCTTCACGTTTAAAATATTCATTGTTAACCAATTTTTTATCTACAAATTTTATTAGTGTTTGATTCACTTCGTTATGATAACGGTCATATTCTTTCAATACGTAAGTGAAGACAAAATGCGTCGTACCTTCAATCTTAAAGCTTAAAGAACTTTCAACACAGTTTTGAGGGTCTGTCAGTGCGTCAATGAGATAGTATTCGAAGTCAGTCAATAATCTTTTTAAAGTCATTTCATACAGGATAAAATTTAATGTTGTGAAGAAATAGTGTTTATCTCAGAAAAAATAAAGTTAGTTTTTATTTTATTTATTTTTTTATCCTGTATGTAAGAACAGTAATGTCAACATTAGAGAACACAACAACTGCTATCGTTCATGAAGCCATAAATGAAGAATACGAGTACATACAGTATAACAAACAATTGAGACTCATTCGTTCGGTCAAAGACGACATGTATCAAATGCAAAGTATAATGAACGCTCTTCGTTCTACAAAGCAAGCATATCATTGGTTTGAAAACCAACAGGCAAAAGAACTTTTAGAAGAATTTCCTCATATGATTGCTTCCCTCGGAAAACCGAGGGAAGAGATTCCGTACGAAAATCGCAAGAATTTGGCTCCTGGTTTGAAAGGTTATTATGTTCATAGACTTTTAGTAAATGCTGTAGCAATGTGGGCTTCACCTCGTTATGCTTGTTATATTTTCATGATGTTAGATGAACTATATAAAGCAGAACGTGGAGAGATGGAAAAGAAACTTCAAGCAAAAGATGAAGTCATTGAATCCAAAGACAAAAGCATACAGAAAAGAATACCACGTTCAGTACCAAAAGGAAAGGAAAAGAGTTATAAGTATATGATTTACGCTGAAGAGATGGAGAATGAAGAAGATAAAGATATGGTTATGTTGCATTTAGTCAGAAGAAACAACAAAAGCTTTTATGACCTTGCTAAGATTTACAAATCTGACAGAAACTGGTTCTATCGTGAAAACTTACCGATTTCAATGACACCGAATGAGCAAATAAAAGAAATTGTCAAAAATACTCTTCCTCAAACACACTATGACATCAAAGGTTGCACAATACTTACCTTCAAAGAAGACTTGCCGCTACTGAAGGAAAAAATAACAGAATATTTCGATAACTTCAAAGAGGAAGAATGAAGTCACGACAACATTAACGAAGAGAGAATGAGGTGAAAAAACAGGTGACATCTCACCTCTTCACCAAAAATATATTTTTGGTTAAATAGCTTCAGGGTCAATTTCTTCAACCATTTCACTTCCTTCGTCAATGTCAATAGAAGCTTCTTCAACCTTTGGTAAGAACTTTTGTATAACATCTTTGTTCGTTATTGTCTTCAGAGATGAAGGATAATATTTCACATTTGTTTCACCCTTCTTATATTCTTTCTGTTCGGAAAGATTCATAGCAATACTGAAGAAGTCAATGTTGGAGTTCTTTATAACAGTATAATGAGTATCTTTGACATTCACGAAGAAACCCTTTTGTTTCAAAACTACTGCTAACTCTTGTGAAGTATAACGTTTGCGGTCAATGACAATAGCTAATGGTCTGACATACTGACCAAACTTAGATTCTTTCACAAACTTCTTGTTAAAGATAACATTAACGTTTGAAGCACCATTGAACTCATTCTTGATGGCAGTAGCGAGAGCATTGTATGAAAAGAACTTGCAATCTTGCATGTGTTTCATTAAAATAAAAATATTAAATTATTTTGAAAAATAACTTAAAAAAATGTAATCTAATTTTTTCAAAAAATATTTTTTTATTTCCTACTAAAGATGTATCGGAAGTTGTCTAAGTTAGAACACTCGGAAATAAAACAACTTCTTACAGAAGCTAATATAGATGTTGCAAAGCATTACGCAACAAACAAAAAAGCACTCGCTGACATCTCAATGACTACAATGGTGCAATAAGTTATGATAGAATTCATGAGTTCATAAAGCCGCAACGCGGCGAGGACGAAGTCCATGCAAGAGCATTTCCTTTAAATGACATTGCTATTGACTTATATCATAGACGTTCAATACCTCATGAAGTAAGAAGAGAAATGTTTGACATAACAAATGCAAACGTTGGTGAAACACGAAAGAGAGATGACACACTGAAACAACAGAGAAGAGAGATGTTTAAAAGTGCTATAGAACAAGTTCGCAAAGCTAACGATGTCATTCGTTCCATTGACGACAAACCAAAAGAAGGTGAGAGATGGTTAAAGAAAGATGAAGAGAATAGGAAGAGAAATGTGAAGTCAGGCAATAGACTCATTGACTTTAACATCGAAGCTTTAGATGAACCAAACAGAGACTACTTACACAAACATTT